TACGATTGTATCTTTCTTTGTATGCAGCCACCCAAGCGGTGCCGACAAAACGGAGAAGGAATTCACATTTATGCTATTGTCAAACGCACACCACATGTTCCTACTAGTGTCAACAGCTTTTTTGCGGCATGAATAGACGTGACGTAACACCATATCTCCTTTTGACAGTTGAAATCGCTGTAAAACACTTGACACAAATGTTAGACGGAATATGACTGTTCATCTTCGTCCCTTACATCAATCCCGTAAATCAAGAGAATATCTCCTGCCATTGTCTTACATAATCGGGGCTTTCTGTACTTTTTTTGTTTGACAGTTAAATTTAAACGCCAACACACCCGACAAAGTTCATTCAGAGACTCTATGCCTCTCATATATGTGTGACCCATTGCAGTTTAACAATTTTTACTAAGGAACACAATTCACTAACTGATTGCCAGTCACTGCAAAGTGCTGGAGAAAACAAAATTCACATCATTAGAAAATATAATTTGATGGCTATCTCACCGCGCAAACAGAAATAAACACCAATGTTTCATTTTCGAATGATTTGTAATTAAGTTTGAAGAGATCACATTATTAACAGCGCTTCCGATCACTTAACACTCACAATTTAAAACTGTATTCCCAAACGAATCAATGAAAACTGTTGAAACTTTCACAACATACCAAGAAGACATAGACGAAGCGAAATTGGTGAAGAAGTAGATTCTAGGGGTAGAGTGAGCATCATTTTACGGCTCATGAAATTAGGTGAAGAAATGCGTTCTGATAAGGACAAGATAGGACAGCGCTGTGCACAAGTTGACCCCAGTCAATCCCCGACTTGACGCGTGAAATTGCAGGTCACCTGCCGGTGATTTATGACCTACCGCGGGGGCCCGGACTAACTAAAAGATCGCTGAGACGGAATTTTGGACGCCGTGAAAGAGAAAGTGAGCGATACACACACACACACATAGATAGAGAGAGAGGAGAGAGAGAGGGAGGGAGGGAGGGAGAGAGAGAGAGAGAGGGAGGGAGGGAGGGACAGAGAGAGAGAGAGAGAGAGAGAGAGAGAGAGAGAGAGAGAGAGAGAGAGAGAGAGAGAGAGAGAGAGAGAGAGAGAGAGAGAGAGAGAGAGAGAGAGAGAGAGAGAGACTGTTCAATTTAAATTATGACATTGTTCTTTTCTTCAAATTGTGATTCCTCCAACTCCAAAACGAAGGAAAAACGATAGTTCATCGAAAAGACATCCGCAATCTTCATTTAGATCTACATCTAGATCTAGAATCTAGGCTAGCCTCGAAACACATGCGATTAAACGTAGAAAGACGCAAACTATTTTTAGGCAAGGCGTCCATCTTGTTTGACGTCAGACCAGGATACCCCTCCGATCACGTGACTACATCTAAGTATAGCCAACCGCATGGCACCAAAGATGGAAGTGTCTATGTTATATCATGCTTAATTTACACCTTTTTCTCTCAAGTTCTGATGGCTGAATAGACAGCGCGTCTGCTTTTGAAGTCGTGCAATGATTTCTGGAGCGGTTCGATCCCGGTCCCAGACAGTTTGTTTTTTTCCTCTTCTCCTCCTCCCGACTGACCAACATTATAGGCCTAATTTGTAGAGGTGCTTTGAAGTTATTGTTAGTTCTTTTTAAAAATATATTAGTGATTGGAAGTGGCTATCCTCATCCGGGGTGAGAATAAAAATACGATCTACCTCTCACCCCTGGTGAGACTTGCCAGCGTTGGCTATTCTCACCCGGTGTGAAACAAGACCTGTTTTTCCTAATTTCGGAATACTATCTATCGGTATGGATGATCAAATTGATAAAAGCAAAGAAAAAATTACGTTATTGCACAAAAGTAAGCTAATTTGATCGCTTACAAAGATGCTATGGCTATTTCACTTTTCGAATCGAGGCGAACTATGCGGGTCGCCATTTTGTTTTGCCCGGAAGTTCTCGTGCAAGATCTACTCCTCCCCTCTCTCTCTCTCTCTTTCTGAATACTGTCTACCGGTTTGGACGATCAAATTGACCAAAACACAGTTAAAAAATGATGTTAAAACACAAAAGTAAATTAATTTGGTTGTCTACAAAGATGCTACGGCTATTTAACTTTCAGAATCGAGCCGAACTACGCGGGTCGCCATTTTGTTTTGCCCAGAAGTTCTCGCGCTAGGCCTACCCTCTCTCTCTCTCTTTCTCCACTGCCCACAGACAAAATTGGACGCTTTTAGGCTAACAGTAGTAATGGAACATTTGTTCACGGCACAGAATTCTACAATTTTGTTATCACAGTGTAGAATTTTGTGGTTCAGGGTGAACGCTACACTGGTTGACCTAGACTATAACAGTGAATGCACACCGGGTGAGAATAGCCAAAAGACTCGCCTGCGCTAGTCTCACCCGGGATAAGAACAGAGGTGGCCTTAGTGATTAAAAATGCAGGAGGGGGGGTAGATCTAGATTTTTCTAGATCTAGATTTAGATATCAAGATCTAATCCTCCTGCGTCTTTACCGTACTTTACGGCAATTTTCGTGCAGTCTTCCATCATGTCCAAGTAGGCCTACTACCTAGATCTAGAATCTAGAAGGAAGAGGCTAGCCGTACTTATTCTTAATATGATGGCTAGACTGACCATATATACATCTCACATTAGTGTGCATAAAATGTGAGGCATTAGTATTTATTCCTCCAAAACTTATGTTAAATATAGGATGTGGAACCTGCATTAGCAGTTTCAGACCCAGTGTCAGCTTTACAATCTTGAGTTTGTAAATTTTTTGCCAAAAATGTTCGTTTTTTTGTGATTCCTGGACTGTCATTTTGAGCACACCAATGCAAACTTCCAAGAATGTCCAAAATCTAGTATTTTTGGGTTCTTTTAACCTGCGCTTTGATTCTATGCTATTTGTGATCGCAAAAGGTTCACTTGCTCAAGAAATCGGTTTATTTGTTTGCAAATAAACGAATAATTCGGATCCCTTGTGCGTCAGTGGTGTCGTCATGGACTAGGTGTTTCAGAAAACACCATTATTTTTCAGTAGAATCACCACAGCTGGTTAAATCTTTTTTGATTTTCGTCGTTTATCCAATAGTTCGAAAGCTGTGATGCGCGAAAGGAACATCGGGTTCCTAGATCTACGATTTCGGTCGGCTGTTTAACATTCGCCGTTAATGGCGTCACTTTGCGACGTACCGGAAGTCCGAATTTTAGCCTACTTTTGTTTTGAACGGATCATCAACAGTGCCTGGATATCATTGTTTTCTTGAGTGACTTCCCCTTACCCGCTTCCCCAGAACAGCGGAAGCAACGGGGGAAAGAGAAAAACGAAAGTAGTCATTGCCGTCACCCTCCGGTTACGCACAAGAATCTTGCGTTGAATGTGACGTACTGGACTGTTTTGCGTGTTTTTAGGCTACCCTATTGAATATTTTAGTGAAATTGCGGTGTTTACATTGGATTCCTGGAACAAGAGTGTGATGTGTGAACAAACTTTGAGAGATGGATCATTTCTGTGGTTATAGATTTAGCTTTTACTTTTGTGCTTAGTGATGACGTTTGGGGTGTCGTCATGCAGCCGTACAAGACTGACTGACGTACTAGAAATTACATTGTCCTAAGAGCAAACATTTTTTATGTCATGTGTGCTCTTTTTACTCAAACAAATAGACAAACATGTCCTTGTTTATCTGTCTAACTCAAAAGTACACATTTGTTCTTTGTTGGCATGATTTATAAGCCTTTTTCCAATACTCATTGTGTCATTGTGTCATCATTGTCATGTGTACAAGTAATATTTTTCATAATAATTGCTATTATCAATATAAGTTTTCAACATATATTTCATAATGCAAGATTCATTTAGAAACAAAATACGCCTTTATTGATCTGTGTATCTCATAGTGCAAATTTGTTCTTTGTAGGCATGATTTTACCTTTTCCCAGTTGTTTTTGTCATCACTGTTATGTACGAGTACTGTTTGTCATAATTAGCAACGTAATTGTGATTGTCTACTGTCTTTGATATGACCTGATATCTGTTTCAAAGCAAAAGAAACCTCTCCTGGGTTTTTTTAAAATTCTTAAAGTGTGTATTTCTCTCTCTCTGGAGGCATGACTTTGTCTTTTCCTGTACATTGTGTCATCATTGTATGTACAAGTCATGTTTGTCATCACTGTTCACAAGTCAGCCCATTGATTTTGTGCTTTTGCCTCATATTAGTTAAAAAATTGTTTTACACACACATGTTTTTCTGGTGCTGAAGCTTTGATAAAACTGTATTTGTACAGCCTTTCACTATTGACTAATGTGATGTGTTGTCAATGATATGTCCAATGTGTGTATCCTTTCTTGTACATAACAATGATGACATGTTCTGTGACAACTCAATTAAAATAGATTGTACACGAGTTGCACAAAAGGAAAAATGGGGAACTGGTCGCGCTTAGGTTAGGGCACGGTCACGCCAAGGGCCGATGTCTCTAGATTCTAGATAGGAGGAAGAACTTCCGTAACGAGCGACCACCCCTTCAAACACAAATAAAGAAGAGGCCTAGATCTAGACCTAACCCTACCCCTAACCCTACCCTTACCCCTACCCCAAGCCCTCAATTCTGCTCTGTCTCATAGTGGAAGCTCATTACGGAAGTCCTCCCTCTAGATATCTAATCTATTCTAGGAAATCCGAAATGTTACCGAAAACACGTCGTTCCATGTGGGTATCCCTCGAAACTAGATCAACGATTTATGTCTGTATTCTAGATCTAGATTAGGTCTACCCTGAGCCAAGAGGGCGCTGAAACTTTCCGAAATCACAAAAGAGTTCCCCTACCGGGTCTACTTTACTTTTTGTGACTTTGTTCCCGGTTACCGGGTCTGTATCAGACGCTCCCTATCGATAATTGATCCCTTCCTTTAAAAAACAAGTAAGCTAATGCTGTGAACGCAGATCTATACTCATATCTAACATTTTAAGAATGTATAAACATCAGTGTATCTTACCTCCGAAGACATATCCAAATGGTGTTATTCTATCATAAGAAATGCGTTGAAAAACAGTAGGCCTATGCAGGACTTGCCAACTTTCAGTCGTATAAACACCGACACATTCGAGGGGAGTAACTCTGCCGTCTGCCGTCTGCTGTCTTTTCTTCTTCAATTTTCTTCTTCTTCGTCTTCTTCTTTTCCCGTTTATTATTATTATTACATGTACATGTATAATTATTATTATTATTATTATTATTATTATTATTATTATTATTATTATTATTATCATTATTTAAGTGTTGTTATTGTTGTTGTTGCTGCTGCTCCTGCTGTTGTTATTGTTTGTTTGGTAAATGTCTTGGTACTCGCAACAGCATAAGATCAAATGGGTGCACTGAAAACAATCTAACATTTATTAGGCATCTCAGTTTGGTTGGAATTTGGAGTTTTGCCTGGGTGGCAGCCGAAGCCTACTCTTATCGATTTTCGGACCACCAAGGGATCTTAACGAGCGAAACTTGCACACTGGACCTCCGAGTTTGTTCGCCCCCATCGGAGAAGGCTTGGTGTTAGATCTTACCTATCATGAGATCAGGGGTGTGGTTGAAAGACAGCAGTAAGAAAGAGCCATGGAGTATTAGTAGAGAAAAGCTGCTGTCTGCAGAAAGAGTCAGGAGTCAGGAGTCCGGAATATGAGGCAAAGTGGATATATATTGTATCATTATTATCATTAATTATTATTATTAATTATTAATTATTCTCCTGGAGAAGATGTTTCAGTGCATTGGGCCTCAGCCATTGCTTTGTAGTCCAGTCCCAATGTGGTCTGGAAAATGGCTCGGAACAAACAGTCTGCAACAACGTTCTCCTTCCCTGAAATGTGCCGTATGTCCGTGGTAAATTCTGAGATGAATGTCTGGTGACGTTGCTGGCGAACTGACCAGGGTGGGGATAACTTGGACATATTATAGTATAGCGTCCACCTGAGGTTTATGATCGGTGAATGCTGTGAAGCACCTACCCTCAAGCAAAAATTGGAAGCGACAGACGGCAAGATCATCATCATTGCCTTTCTCACCCTGCACCAGGGTATAGGCCACGGACAAACACCCTCCACTTTTCTCTATCCTGGGCTAGCCTC